ATGAGGATTGAGAGAGGGGAAGGCGGGCTGAGGGAGAGGAATGAGGAATGAGGGAGGGGAAGGTGGGTTGAGGGAGAGGAATGAGGAATGGGGGAGGGGAAGGTGGGATGAGGGAGAGGAATGAGGATTGAGGGACGGGAAGGCGGGGTTGAAGGAACTAGCTTGGAAGAGAAAATATTGAACTGAGTAGGGAGCCAAGTGGCTCTTTTGTACAAAACAAGGAGCAAGCGAGAGTTGGAAGGGAAGCTCTCCTATTGGCCATAAAGTGGACCAATGGGAGTGGTTGCTTGTAGGGCAAGCAACCACAAAGTGTTGTGCTCTCCAATTGGCCACAATGTGGACCAATGAGAGAGATTGCTTGGAAGGCAAGCAACTACAAAGTGTGGTGCTTGGTGATTGGTTGGTTCCTAGGACCTAGGACCATTTGGTTGGAATAGTGCCAACCAAATGTCAAGGACCAAATCCAATCTTGACCAACCCAAATGTGGGGTTGGTCAACCCAACCAACAAACCCCCAATAATTATAATGACTACACCTCCTAATCTAGGCATGCATGTTGCATAGATATATATTTTACAACAGGGGTGAGGGAGAGGAATGAGGAATGAGGGAAGGGAAGGCAGGATGAGGGAGACGAATGAGGATTGAGAGAGGGGAAGGCGGGGTGAGGGAGAGGAATTAGGAATGAGGGAGGGCAATGCGGGATGAGGGAGAGGAATGAGGAATGAGGGAGGGGAAGGTGGGTTGAGGGAGAGGAATGAGGATTGAAGGAGGGGAAGGCGGGGTGAGGGAGAGGAATGAGGAATGAGGGAGGGGAAGGCAGGATGAGGGAGAGGAATGAGGATTGAGAGAGGGGAAGGCAAGGAGAGGGAGTGGAATGAGGAATGAGGGAGGGGAAGGCGGGATGAGGGAGAGGAATGAGGACTGAGGGAGGGGAAGGCGGGATGGGGGAGAGGAATGAGGAATGAGGGAGGGGAAGGCAGGACGAGGAAGAGGAATGAGGATTGAGAGAGGGGAAGGCGGGGTGAGGGAGAGGAATGAGGAATGAGAGAGGGGAAGTCGGGATGAGGGAGAGGAATGAGGAATGGGGGAGGGGAAGGCGGGATGAGAGAGAGGAGTGAGAATTGAGAGAGGGGAAGGCGGGGTGAGGGAGAGGAATGAGGAATGAGGGAGGGGAAGGCAGGAATAGGGAGAGGAATGAGGATTGAAGGAGGGGAAGGCGGGGTGAGGGAGAGGAATGAGGAATGGGGGAGGGGAAGGCGCGATGAGGGAGAGGAATGAGGATTGAGAGAGGGGAAGGCGGGATGAGGGAGAGGAATGAGTAATGACGGAGGGGAAGGCGGGTTGAGGGAGAGGAATGAGGAATGAGCGAGGGGAAGGCGGGATGAGGGAGAGGAATGAGTAATGAGGGAGGGGAAGGCGGGATGAGAGAGAGGAGTAAGGATTGAGAGAGGGGAAGGCGGGGTGAGGTAGAGGAATGAGGAATAAGAGAGGGGTAGGCGGGATGAGGGAGAGGAATGAGGATTGAGAGAGAGGAAGGCGGGTGAGGGAGAGGAATGAGGAATGAGGGAGGGGAAGGCAGGATGAGGGAGAGGAACGAGGATTGAGAGAGGGGAAGGCGGGATGAGGGAGAGGAGTGAGGATTAAGGGAGGGAAAGGCGGGGTGAGGGAGAGGAATGAGGAATGAGGGAGGGCAAGGCGGGATGAGGGAGAGGAATGAGGAGTGAGCGAGGGGAAGGCGGGATGAGGGAGAGGAATGAGGATTGAGAGAGGGGAAGGCGGGATGAGGGATAGGAATGAGGATTGAGAGAGGGGAAGGCGGGTGTGAGAGTACGACCCCGTTCCATTCCTTTCTCCTTTCCATTTCATTCCTCTTTCCATCGTGATCTATTTGGTTTTTATTTTATTCCATTTGGATTCCTATTTCCCCTTTTCCATAAACCTTTGGTTTATCCTGTTATTATCATTATATCACCGACCAGGCTCAGGATGTACTGGTGCGCTATATCTAACGTAATCCTGCCGTAATCCCTTAAAGCCAATAGCCTCGCGTGGCTATACGCAGGGTGATTCTATCTTCTAGAAGGGTCTATTCCCTTATGATAAGATAAACCTGGTTACCTGATGTACTTTGGAAGTATAAAAGCGCCTTGTACTGATCGATATTGCAACCTTTCCTCGACACATTCGATCATGTGACAGCGGGTGAGGGAGAGGAATGAGGAATGAGGGAGGGGAAGGCAGGATGAGGGAGAGGAATGAGGATTGAGAGAGGGGAAGGCGGTTTGAGTGAGAGGAATGAGGAATGAGGGAGGGGAAGGCGGGATGAGAGAGAGGAGTGAGGTTTGAGAGAGGGGAAGGTGGGGTGAGGGAGAGGAATGAGGAATGAGGGAGGGGTAAGCGGGGTGAGGGAGAGGAATGAGGAATGAGGGAGGGGAAGGCAGGGTGAGGGAGAGGAATGAGGAATGGGGGAGGGGAAGGCGGGGTTTCTTCCTCCCCCCATGCCTCGCCTCCTGGCCTGTGGTTTCTTCCCCTAGCCATGCCAACCCTTACGGCATGGTGTATCCTCCCCCCCGTGCCTGTGCTTACTGCAACGCCTCTCTGCCTCACCTCTCATCCTCTCCTCTAATCCCCACCTCTCCTCCCCACCTCTGATCCTCCCCTCTCCTCCTCGCCTCTCCGCCTCACCTCTCTTCCTTTCCTCTCCACCTTCCTTCAGCGCCTCACCTCTCCACCTCTCCTCCCCACTCCTGATCCTCCCCTCCCCTCCTCGCCTCTCCACCTCACCTCTCGTCCTCTCCCCCCCCCCCCCCTCGTTTCGTTTCCTCATCATCAACTCTGCCTCGCCTCTCCGCCTCACCTCTCCGCCTCACCTCTCCGCCTCACCTCTCTGCCTCACCTCTCTGCCTCGCCTCTCCACCTCACCTCAATTTTCCAACCCCCTCCTCCTCACCTCGCCTTCCCACCTTCCTTACTCACTTATCCCCCTCATCTCTCCTCCTCACCTCTCGTTGTCTCCTTGAATCCCCACCTCCCCTCCTCACCTCCTAGCGCCTCTCCTCCTCTCCTGTAATCCCAACCTCTCCTCCTCACCTCTGATCCTCCCCTCTCCTCCTCGCCTCTCCGCCTCACCTCTCTTCCTCTCCTCTCCGCCTTCCTTCTCCTCCTCCCCTCTCCTCCCCCACTCTCGTCCTCAGAACTGAGCCTCTCCTCTCATCCTCTCCGCTAATCCCCACCTCTCCTCCCCACCTCTGATCCTCCCCTCTCCTCCTCGCCTCTCTTCCTCACCTCTCCTCCTTCCCCCCCTCCTCGTTTCGTATCCTCGTCGCCTCTCCGCCTCGCCTCTTCTCCCTACCCTTCCCTTTCCTCTCCTCCTCTCCTCTTATCCCATACTCTCTTCCGCAACTCTCCTCTTCGCCTCCCCTCCTCACCTTGTCTCGCCTCGCCTCTCTTCCTCACCTCTCCGCCTGACTCTCCTCCCCACCTCTGATCCTCCCCTCCTCCTCGCCTCTCCGCCTTCCTTTTCCGCTTCTCCTCTCCTCCTCCCCTCTCCTCCTCCCCTCTCATCCTCACCTCTCTGCCTCACCTCTCCTCCAGACCTCTGGTCCTCATCTACACTCGTCGCCTACTAAGTTATAATCGCCCCACTTATTCTCGTCGCCTACCCTATTAGAGTCGCCTCACCTATCCCACTGCGGCAGTCTTGCTGCCCGCCGCCACAACTCTCCTCCTTTACTCCCCTTTATTCGATGGCGCACCCTCTCACACGCGTCCTATCTCTTGTCGCGTCCCCTCCCCCCGTCGCGTCCTCGCCCTCCCTCACATCTCATTCTGCGCCTCGTCTCCGATGGGGGCTTTGTCGCGACACCATTCCGCCAGCTTCTTTCCTTAGCGCACATCCATTTATGCGGCGCGTTTTGTATCCGCCCTCACGGTCGTTTTTCCCTTGCCCATTCCGCCTCGTATGCCTCGCATAAACTCATCGCCGCTCCTCGCATCTCCTGTCCTAACCCATTGTAGATGCGTATTTGGAACCCATTGCTTCCCGTGTCACCGTCGGCCAAGCGTTTCCTCGCCGCATCGCCTCACCTAATCGCGCTGTCGCCAACTTTCCGTCTCGCCGCACCACATGTTTCGCGCCCATTCTCTCCTCTCCTCCCTCACTCTTAGCTACGTAAGCCCCACATCGTCGGCTCTGTGGCTCTACTACTAAGTTAGGTCTGCGTTTAGCGGCTGGTGCGGCGATTGATGTTGACTCTGTGGTTTGGCTAGTCCCATATTTCCTCCACTGGCTGTCCCCAACCACCTCGAGTTGCTTTGGGGCTTTCTGGGGCAGCTCTCGCGCCCTGAGCCTTCGGCAGGTGGATTGCGTCTGCGAAACCACTGCAGGCTGGGTTGGTGGAAAATTGGGGGGAGGGGGTTTGTGGCTTGGGTTACCAACCCGAACCTACATCAAACTGCCCCTAGTTTGATGGGTGGGGCCAGTTCGACTTTTCTAATCTAGGACCTGGGCTTTAAGTGCCTGCAGAACCCTGCCATTGTGTCCCTCGGATCTGTTTCGCTTGTCGCCTCTGAGTTGCGTTGCGTGATTGAAGCGCCCAAATGTGTTCGCCAGGCTGTTCCCTGAAACCGCCGTTCCAAAACTGCCAAAACTGGCTCAAACGTAGGAAGGTCGGTTGTGTCACCCTGTTTAGGTTTGGGTTGGAGGCAGGGGCGAAGAATTCACCTGCGAAACAATTTCGCCGAACTGAAGTTACCCACGCAACTTGGCGCACAAAACACGAGATTCGCCTCCCTGAGTCCTTGCGACAATAACTTTCGCAAACCCGTTCGTGCTCGTGCCGAGAATTCGCAAGGCTGGCAAGCTGACCATATTCCTCTCGCCAGCTCTTTCTGTGTCCACCCTTCCCCGTCCACCAATCGGAACGAACACCCTATACCAACTTTCCTACCAATGAAACTCTTGGCACAGCAGTTCTAAGAGATCGTCAGGTTTCCCGCCATTTTGGGTTGTGCTTGCACTTCCTCCCTAATAAGCAGCATTCTCTGACAAAAAGCCAGACTAGCTGTTCTATCAGCGTTCTGCCTAGAAATCGCCGCATAAATCTCCGAAATCGCCGAAAGCCAGCCAGCCTGGCTGTTCAATCTCAGAAATCTCGGATTTGATCTCCTTAGAACATGGCATGCTCTATCGGCTTTCTGCTGAGTACACTACCGGGCAAAGTTATTGCGTCGTGGAACTCTGCTTGAGAGTTACTAGTAAGCCAGCCAACGACCCACCGCGAATCCAACTCGGATTCTTCGTGAACCACAGGGGGGTGTGGGGGGCAATCCCCATGCGTCCAATCGGCTGTGGATTAGATGAGTCCTCTGGCCATCTGCTGCGCGCCGCGCCGCCCACGCGACTCGTCGCGGCCCTCGTCCGCTCGACGAGCATTTGCCAGCTTCGCTTTACTACTGCTCCCGCTCGCGTTGCTCATTGACTGCCCTTCCATCGCTCACAGTGTCGCCTTTCGGTATCATGATGCTCCCACGTCCGCGAGTGAGAATTCCCTAGTCAAGCCCGTTTCAAATCCCCTAACGAAGCCCCTAACGAAGCCCCTAACGAAGCCTCTAGCGAATTCCTTCGCGAGCGGCAGGAGGGTGTTGTCTAGCAGTGGGACCTCCGGTCCTCCTGCCGTTGAGCCTCTGCCCGTTGCTGGGCTCAACTTCAGCGACTCGTGCGTCCAGGTCATGAGGGGTGTTTCCCTCTACGGGCTGAGTCAGTCCAGGCAGCGGCAGCTTGTAGCGCGTACGTGCAGAGCGGAGCTGCGGAACGCGCTGCAGCGGTTGGCGGAGGAAGCGGGGCGGAGAGAAGAGGAAGCGGGGAATGCTAACTCGGAGCCTCTGCTGGAACTTGCCGAACCTCCGCTTGAACTTGCCGAACCTCCGCTTGAACTTGCCGAACCTCTGCTTCAGGGTCTGATTGAGGCGGCAGACACTGCTGCTGCCGCCGCTGCTGGCCCTGCTGCTGTTTTCGCTGCCCCTGCTACTTCTCCAGCTGGCGCGCTGCTGTGCTCTCAGGGCTGGCGGCAGGCGGCGCTGGCTCGAGCTGCGGCGAGCGCGTATGTGCGGAGGGCGGTGAGGCAGACTGTGACGTCGATAGAGCAGATAGGAGCGGGCGTTGATGCTGTGTGCACGGGGGTGCGAGATGTGGAAGCCAGCCTTGCGGGAAACTGCAGTGGCACGAGTTGCAAGGGCGAGAAAGCAGCACCAGCAGCAGCATCAGCAGCAGCAGGAGGAATGGACGGCACGTGGCCTGAGGCATGCTGGCCTGTGCCCCACATGCCCTTCAATGATGGCGGGGTGAGTTGTCGCCCCGTCCCACACCCTACCGCATTCCGCCACTCTACCCTACTCTCCCTCACAATCTATCACACTTTCCACCACTCTTCTGTGTACCACACTCTACCCTACGCTCCCTCTCCCAATCTACGACTCTCTCTCTACCCTACACTCCCTCTCACCCTACCCTGCCTCCTAAATCCACCACTCTATGCCCTACCCCCTCCTCTCCCAATCTACCACAGTCCACCCCTCTCTCTCTCTTGGGACTTGCTTTCATTTATTGGTGCAATGTTCATTTATTCACAGAGCTAAGGCTGCCGTTTGTTCGCAGCCCTTCCTTTGCCAACAACCTTCCCCCTCCCCAGTTTCCCTCGCGACCACCTTGATTCCGAATCCCGCTTTCCCCTTCTCCTCTCTCCCTCCCAGCTTCTTCCCTACTCCCTATGCTTTCCCCCCCTCCTCCTCCCCTCCTCCTCCCCTCCTCCTCCCCTCCTCCTCTTCCCTGAAATTCCTCATCTGCCATCCCCAGCCCCCTGGTATCCCCAATCCCCCGAGTCCGTCAGTGCACACATGGACCTCGTTCTCACCTATTCTGCACGGCACCTCTCCGTCCTTTCCCTTGATACTTCCCACTCTCGCCATCCACGACCCCCCCAGTCCGTAGCCTCCTCTGCCTTGCGCCTCTCAGTAGTTTCCCTCACATTTCCCCTCCCCCCCTCCCCCATCTTCCCCCCCCCCCTCTCTTTATTTCCGGTACTCGCCGTCCACAATCCCCACATTCCGTCAGTGCCCGGGGCAAGCACCTCGTCTTAGCCGACTCTGCAGAGCACCTCTCACTCCGTGCCTCACCTGTCTCATGAGCGCCCCCCATTTCATACCCTCTGCTTCCCCAACCCCCCCAAACCCCACCAGAACGCACAAGCTCCTCGTCTTAGCCTTCTCTGCCTTTCCCTCACACTTCCCCTCAGCCCACCCCCTCCCCCCCCCAAACTCCTCACTCTCTCCATCTCAACCCCCCCAGTCCATCAGAGGGCGCAAGTACCTGGTCTTTGCCATCTCGGGCGAGCAGCTCTCCAACTCTCGGTCTCACCTGGTGGAGGCCGCCCGCATTGCCCGCGCCACTGGCCGCATCCTCGTGCTGCCCAAGGTGAGACTTGCCCCGTGCTTTCCATCCCAAGATGTCACCCTCCTCGGGTGATGTGATGGCCTCAAGAGACAGCACTCACACTCACCTTGTAGCAGCCGCCCCCGTTGCCCCCATTGCCCCCATTGCCCCCATTGCCCCCATTGCCCCCATCGCCCCCATTGCCCCCATTGCCCGCATTGCCCCCATTGCCTTCCTTGTCTGCATTGCCCACAGTGCCTACATTGCCCGAATTGCCTGCGTTGCCCGCATTGCCCACGTTTCACCTCCTCTACTAGGCACAAGCCGCCTTTCTTGCTTACTTTTTGTCCCGGTTCGAGACGTGCCGAGCCAGAGCCACGAGCCGCTCATCGCGCGAAATCTGACAAGCCGGGATTTGGCTCGTTGGCTCGACGGACTGGACTCGAGCCACGCCTCGGCTCGTCGACGGCGCGACGTCCTTGTGTGGATGGGCGGGCGATGTAAACCCTGACCATCCGGGGGCGATGTAAACCCTGACCATCCGGGGGCGGCTCTTGAGCCGCTTCGTTCCTGTCAAGGCAACCCAGCTTGGCCCGTGACTGCACACCCGGCTCAGTCAAATGCTCAGTCAAATGCTCAGTCAAATGCTCAGTCAAATGCTCAGTCAAATGCTCAGTCAAATGCTTAGCCGGGCAGCTGAGAATTCTGGCTTGGGTCAAGCCGGCTCGCCTAGCCTCTTCCACATGGAGGAGGACCCGTCTTTTGGCCATTGCTCATGTCTACCCTCTATTCTCTTCCCCTCCTCCCGTCATCCCCTCTTCCCTCTTCCCACACAACCCCTCCTCCCCTCTTCCTCTCTCCCCCCCACGTGCCCTCTTCCCCTCCTCCCCCACATCCCCTCTCAGGCCAGTCGCAGCCGCCTGTCTCTCGCGCTCTCGCTGCCCTGTGCGCCTACTTCGACCTCTCTCACTTTGACAGCCACTGGGTGTCGCCAGACTTGTTCCTCCTTCTGGCTAGAGCGGCTGCCGTCGCCCCCTCTGCTGCAGCCCCGACTGCCACAGCGACAGCGATTGACACGGCATTAGCAGCTGACGCTGCAGCAGCGGCCCCCGCGGCTCCCTCTGTGGGCTTCATGGTGCTGCAGTCCAATGTCACGTGGCGCATGCCCTTCACACAAAGCAAGTAGCAGAGGTCTAATTCCGAGGGTCGAGTAACAGAAGTATAGTTCTGATGCATCCAGTAGTACATTCCAGACGCCTTCCATGTTGCAGCACACCAAGATAACGCAGCGCATGCCCTTCACACAAAGCAAGCGTCGGCTGAATACGCAGGCTCATATGCCATCCGATGCCATCAAATTCCATCCCATGCCATCCCATGCCATCCCATGCCATCCCATGCCATCCCATGCCATCCGATGCCATCCCATGCTATCCCATGCCATCCCATGCCGTCCCATGTCATCGCTTGCCATCCCATGCAAGCCGATGCCACCCTATCCAATCGCATTTCGTGGTATTGCTATTGACCTTACTATGATCTGAAGTCCCAGAATGCCCTCTCATCCCATGCCCTCCATGCCCTCCCGTGCCCTCCCATTCCCCCCCATGCCCTCCCATGCCCTCCCATGCCTTCCATCTCATTGTGATCCATCCCATCCTGTCCCTCCCAAGCCTATCCCACGACATCTCATCCCCCCCAAACTGTTATAATCACAATAGGCTCACATGTGCCTAAAATGAGAGATAGAGTGCACAGTCGGATTTCCGTCAGACAGCTTCCAATATTGATACCGATCTGATATAAGATTTAAACGATGAACTGTAAGTTGGATCTGGAGCGCGTTGCTGTCGCCTATCAGCAGCAAGTTGAATCCATCCCATCCCATCACACCACAACCTATCTCTTTTCATCCTATCTCATTCCTTTGCACCCTCCCCCATCCCGGTCTTGGCCGCCTCAGAGCTTCAGGCGACAATGTTGGGAGAGCTGATCGTGTATGGCATGGGCCATGCGCCAACGCGAGACAACACGTTCGACGTCATCATGCCAGCCAATAGCAGCACTGTTCTCGGCATGTTGAATGAGTGGTGTGTGCCCTTGTGCTATGTGGATTGAGTGCTGTGAGCCACTCTGTCATCTGCATCCACTCTGGCATCCCTTTATTCACTCTGTCTCTCCTTTAGCTCCCATACGTTGCTTCTTATCCACCATTTCCCCTTCTTCGCTATCCCCTCTGCCTCTCCTGCCACCAGGCACCACAAGGACGTGGTGGTGTGGTTGAAGCCCACATGGGAGCGGGTAGACTTTGACCCTCCCTCCGACTTCATCTCCTTCCAGATGCTTCCGTACGGCAAGCCATGGCACGCCATGGCGCATCGCATCATAGCCCGCCTGCCCGCGCGCTACATCGCTGTGCACTACCGCTCCGAGTTCATTGCCTTCCACCTTGTGAGTGCTGCCTGCCAGGCTGTGTGTGAATTGGCTTCAGCTGAGTGTGTAGTGGTCCTACACGTAATGGAATACGTGCAAGGCAGTGCCTCAGATGGGCCATCTGGTGGCTCAAATGGTGGCGCATCTGTAGCCATGCCGTGCCCCGCCGCAAAGTCTGAGAGAGCATAATGCAGGTGCCATCTCTTCACGTGGCAGCGGCTCGAAAGAGGGTGCATTACACCTGTGAGGTCCTTGCCCTCCACCTTGTAAGTGGGCGCACCTTGTAAGTGGGCGCACCTTGTAAGTGGGCAGTAGTGGCGCACCTTGTAAGTGGGCGCACCTTGTAAGTGGGCGCACCTTGTAAGTGGGCGCACCTTGTAAGTGGGCGCACCTTGTAAGTGGGCGCACCTTGTAAGTGGGCGCACCTTGTAAGTGGGCGCACCTTGTAAGTGGGCGCACCTTGTAAGTGGGCGCACCTTGTAAGTGGGCGCCCTTGTAAGTGGCACCTTGTAGTGGTCGTACAGGTAATGGAATCCGTGCAAGGCAGTGCCTTAGATGGGCCAAATGGTGGCGCAAATGGTGGCTCAAACGGTGGCCCAAATGGTGGCCCAAATGGTGGCCCAAATGGTGGCTCATCTGTAGCCATGCTGTGTTGCGCCGCAAAGTCTGAGAGAGCACTGTGGAACAGCCATATCTTCACGTGGCAGCGACTCAAGAGGGGGTGCATTACACCTTGTAAGTGGGCGCACCTTGTAGTAGGCTCACCTTGTTAGTAGGCGCACCTTGTTAGTAGGCTCACCTTGTTAGTAGGCACACCTTGTTTGTAGGCTCGCCTTGTTAGTAGGCGCACCTTGTTAGTAGGCTCACCTTCTTCGTAGGCGCACCTTGTTAGTCGGCTCACCTTCTTAGTAGGCGCACCTTGTTAGTAGGTGCACCAGCAACTCCACGCACATGTAACACTTTTGCACTGGTCAACCTGGTGCTTGTTGAAGGGCAAAATCCCAAACAAGAAAATATTTCCTGTTTGAAATGCCACTGGCAAAAATCTAGGCAATGAAACCTTCTATATGTCCTGGCTACGAATTGTCACCTCACAAATTCAAGAAAGAAACAAAAGCCAGGATATAACATAAGCTTCTGAAGGAAATTTGTCATAGTTAGTGCATTCTTCCTCCAATTGAAGCGATTCTTTATCTGCCAGAAAAATGTTCAAAAGGTGTCTTTTCAACGTTTGCAAGCAAAAACCAACCAATCGCATTTCGAACCTCCAAATCACTCAACAAACAAAGAAACCACACATCCCAGAGAGAAACATGGGTTGGGAGGCAGACAGAATATGATGGCATGGCAGATCCACACAAAGCAGCTGGTACATCGAGGGCGACTCATCATCTCGTCGCACTCCTCATCCCATCACATCCTCCGCATAAGCATAGCTGGATACAGGAGGCACTGCCTGTCGCTGGTAAGCAGCCATGGCTGGGGGGGTATGTGCCCATGACCCATGGGGGTAAGCAGCCATGGCTAAAGGGGTATGTGCCCATGACCCATGGGGGTAAGCAGCCATGGCTAAAGGAGCATGTGCCCATGACCCATGGGGGTAAGCAGCGATGGCAAAGGGGGTATGTGCCCATGACCCATGGGGTTAAGCAGCCATGGCTAAGGGGGTATGTGCCCATGACCCATTGGGGTAAGCAGCCATGGCTAAGGGGGTATGTGCCCATGACCCATGGGGGTAAGCAGCGATGGCTAAGGGGGTTTGTGCCCATGACCCATGGGGGTAAGCAGCCATGGCTAAAGGGGTATCTGCCCATGACCCATGGGGGTAAGCAGCCATGGCTAAAGGGGTATGTGCCCATGACCCATGGGGTTAAGCAGCCATGGCTAAATGGGTATGAGCCCAAGACTCGTGGGGGTAAGCAGCCATGGCTAAGGGGGTATGTGCCCATGACCCATGGGGGTAAGCAGCCATGGCTAAACGGGTATGTGCCCATGACCCATGGGGGTGAGCAGCCATGGCTAAAGGGGTATGTGCCCATGACCCATGGGGGTAAGCAGCCATGGCTAAAGGGGTATGTGCCCATGACCCATGGGGGTAAGCAGCGATGGCTAAAGGGGTATGTGCCCATTACCCATGGGGGTATGCAGCCATGGCTAAGGGGGTATGTGCCCATTACCCATGGGTGTAAGCAGCCATGCCTAAGGGGGCATGCGCCCATGACCCATGGGGGTATGCAGCCATGGCTAAAGGGGTATGTGCCCATGACCCATGGGGGTAAGCAGCCATGGCTAAAGGGGTAAGTGCCCATGACTCATGGGGGTAAGCAGCCATGGCTAAAGGGGTATGTGCCCATGACCCATGGGGGTAAGCAGCCATGGCTTAAGGGGTATGTGCCCATGACCCATGGGGGTAAGCAGGGATGGCTAAAGGGGTATGTGCCCATGACCCATGGGGGTATGCAGCCTCCTCACGCTGCCCTCCCAGCCGCTGGAGGAGGTAGTTCCCATGAGCACATACCCCCTTAGTCATGCCTGATTGCACCATAATCTCCCCCATCCCAGGCCTTAGAGGTTGGCCGCATCCCAGCAGGCCTTAGAGATTGCACCCCATGGCGTGCCTCAAGGCGTCATCAACATCCCCCCCCTTGCAGGCGCACAATCTGGCCAAGGCGGGCTGGAAGACGGACGTGGGCGTGTTGGAGGAGGTCATGTCGGGCTGCATGGTGGCGGCACGCGACCTCATCAACCGGATGAAGCAGAAGCACAACGTCACCGCTGTCTTCATTGCAGCTGACGTCCCCTTTGACGACAAGGCGGGGAGCCTGGCGCGGTCGGACTCGTGGAAAGAGAGCACGTGGCGGTTTGGCAGCAGCGAGAGGGTGATGCGGGCCCCCAGGGAGAATCTGCGGTGGCTGCGGGAGCAGGTGGCGGGGACCGTTATGGTGGACGAGTTGGTGCCAGACATCAACCAGTATGACCCGGGTGAGTTGTGAGCTCACCCTTCAGACTGGCAGGCTCTACGGGGCAATTGCTGTTGGTGGCTGCGGGGGCAGGCGGCGCCGCGGCGGGCATAGTGATGGTGGATGAGGTGGCGAAGATGATAAACCAGTAAGACCCAGGTGAGTGCGTTCTGCTTTGGTAGTTGTTTGGGTTGGTGCGTGGGTGGCTGTGTGCGTGGTTGGCTGTGTGCGTGGTTGGCTGTGTGCGTGGTTGGCTGTGTGCGTGGTTGGCTGTGTGCGTGGTTGGCTGTGTGCATGGTTGGCTGTGTGCGTGGTTGGCTGTGTGCGTGGTTGCTTTTCCAGACATGGATTCTTTCCAGTGTTCTTCTCTCGTTTCCATCCATTCAACCCATGGAGTATGCCAGGCAAACCCTCACATCCACTCTTCACTACTCTCGTCTCTCACTTTCCCTTTCCCCCTTCCACCCTGCTTGGCATGCATTCATCGTAGCCATTGTCGACAAGCTGGTGTGTGCATACGCACACGTGTGTGCACACAATCAAAGATTCCTCGCCAGGGGAGATGCTGCGCACCATGCAGCCCTCTCCCCTCATTGTCTCTCTTCTCTCCCTACTGCCCTGCTTCACCTGCAGGCGTCGTGGCCATTGTCGACAAGCTGGTGTGTGCACACGCACACGTGTTCCTTGCAGGTTCCACTGTGTGTGGGGGGGGGCGTGGATTTGAACAGGACATTAACAGCCACAGGTATCACTTTAACGAGACCACTGTTCAAAGATGGGTGTCCCAGGCAACAAAGCTCTTGCAGCAATCCAACAGCAGGGCTCCTGGAACGTGAGCACATTCGTGTGTGGACACATGCTAATATGATTTTCTCTGCTAAGTGACGCCGGAAGAGCACGAGCAGTTGCATTGCATTCTAAGCATAGGCCATGTCCAACTTTTCTCCGAAGCTTCCTAGACTCTCGAAGGATGTTCGAAGACTACTATAGCTTAGACCATGGCCATGGCAACACTCTTCGACCACATGGCTAGTAAGGTAGGTCAGCATTCTCACAGTAGAAAACATCGACTAGAATGGGGCATACAGGTTGATCCTGTTCAAGTGGTTGTACCCTTTAAGAGCATGCAACTATCTAGCCTATTATAACATATACATATATGTTTGACACACCCCCTAGGCCAAATGAGGGGCAGCGCCTGGAAGTCGACACTCAGCTTAGGGTGGCACTACTAGTCCAGCCTCTGAGGCAAGGGTCCGAAGACAAGATAGCAAGAGTACAAACAAGACAAGAGCAAACCTGGGCGGCACTACTAGTCCGACCACTGGAAGAGAAGCCACAAGGCCAGTCAGGAAGGTATATAAAAAGAGAAGTACACAATCAAGGTCCTAGCAAGTGAGTAGCCACAGGACCTAGACCCAAGCTGCAAACAGTGCTGCTGATGATCTATAGGCGCAAGCGCCTGAATAAAGATATCAGCTGTGTTGGCACCGAAGGCCAAGTGAACTATGAGGGCCTGGCGTCGCTGCTGCAGCTCGTACAGGAGGAAGTACCGCAGCTGGATGTGCTTCGCTCTGCCTTCCAGTCGAGGCTCCTAACACAAGAGGATCATGGCCCTGTTGTCAGCGTACAAGACCGGGGCAAAGCTAGGCTGCTCACCTAAGTCTGTGAGCAGGAACGTCAGCCAGCGGAGCTCCTGTGCCGCCATGGCACCTGCGTAGATCTCAGCCTCACAGCTAGACTGTGCAACTGTCGACGAGCGGGTGGACCTCCACGAGACAGCGCCTGCCCCAAGGCTAAAGCAGTAGCCCCGGGAGGACCCGAGCGTCTCAGCGTCATCGGCCCACGAAGCGTCTGTGTGCCCTATCAGGACCATTGTCCTGCGTCCTCCTAGCACTAGCCCCATGCTCGATATACTTGCTAGATAACGCAAAACCCTCTTAGGTGCCGATCAGTGCTGCGGTGACTGTGTGAGAGTAATGGTGCGCGTTTCTCTGTCCCTGGAGATCTGCAGCCCAAGGTAGTGGCGCACCTCTCTTAGGTCAGTGCAAGTGTGTCTCCTAAGTAGCTCAGCCTTCACCGAGGCCAGAGCGTCTCTGTCTACTGTAGCAAAGACAAGATCGTCTACGTAGACAAGGATGTAGAACGGGGTCTGTCCTAAATGGACGAACAGTGAAGGGTCTGCAGACGTAGCGTGTCGTGCCACTCATGGGATGCCTACCGCAGGCCGTAAACTGGGCACCGGAGAAGCCACTCGGTCCCAGGAGAGAAGGTGCTGGTGAACCCCAGCGAACGGCGCAGATAGACCTCCTCGTGTAGACTGCCCTCGAGAAACGCTGTGGAGAAATCCAGAGAGGGCAGCTCGTAGTCACCCTGAGCTGCTACACGTAGCAGCGCCTGAAGAGTGGTCATCTTCGTGGTCAGGGCGAAGGTCTGAAAGAAGTCAACAGCCTCGCGGTGACTGAAGCCTCTAGCCACATAGCACGTCTTGAACACCGGCGGCTCTCAAGGAGGGCGCATCACCTTGAAGAGCCACCGACCATTGACTACGTTTACCCCAGGTGGGGGAACTGCGTCGACGTAGGTGCCAGTGGATCTCCAAGGTATCACCTCCGCGTCCATGGCAACTATCCACTGAGAGGCCCAGGGTCTCGAGGTCGCCTCAGCGTAAGTGCGAGGGGTCGGGATGTCAAAGGCGTCTGGGTCACCCTCAAGCACAAGCAGCATGGAGCAGAGATGAGGCGCGGCCTCGGACAGGAAAGCAAGTTCTTACTACCGGTCTTCCAGGACATCACTGCCGAGGGCAGGAGCACCCTCGACGGATAGAGGACGAGCAGGGTTAGAGACCAGAGCGGTGGCATCGTCAAGGCGGTGGGTACAGGCAAAGTCAGCAATGGCAGCGACAAGAGCGTCAAGACTCGAGACATGATGCGAGGAATGAGGCGACACCATGGGATGAATGAGGCGACATGATGGGAGGAATGAGACGACATGATGGGAGGAATGAGGCGACATGATGGGAGGAATGAGGCGACATGCCGGGAGGAATGATACGACATGATAGGAGGAATGAGGCGACATGATGGGAGGAATGAGACAACATGATGGGAGGAATATGGCGACATGATGGGAGGAATGAGGCGACATGATGCGAGGAAAGAGGCGACATGATGGGAGGAATGAAACGACATGATGGGAGGAATAAAACAACATAATGGGAGGAATGAGACGACAGGATGGGAGGAATGAGACGACACGATGGGAGGAATGAGACAACAGAATGGGAGGAATGAGACGACACAAAGGGAGGAATGAGTCGACACGAAAGGAGGAATGAGACGACATGATGGGAGGAATGAGGCGACATGATGGGACGAATGAGGCGACATCATGGGAGGAATGGGGTGACATCATGGGAGGAATGAGGTGACATCATGGGAGGAATGAGGCGACATGGTGGGAGGAATGAGACGACAGGATGGGAGGACTGAAATCAAACGATGGGAGGAATGAGACGACACTATGGGAGGAATGGGGCGACACGATGGGAGGAAGGAGGCGACACGATAGGAGGAATGGGGTGACATGATGGGAGGAATGAGGCGCCATGGTGGGAGGAACAAGGCGGCATGATTGGAGAAATGAGGCGATATCATGGGAGAAATGGGGTGACACGATGGGAGGAATGAGGTGACATGATGGGAAGAATGAGGCGACATGATGGGAGGAATGAGGCGACATGATGAGAGGAATGAGGCGACATGATTGGAGGAATGAGGCAACATGATAAGAGGAATGAGGTGACATGATGGGAGGAATGAGGCGACATGATGTGAGGAATGAGGCGACATCATGGGACGAATGAGGCGCAACGTTGGGAGGAATAAGGCGACATCATAGGAGAAATGAGGCGACATTGTGAGAGTTCGACCCCGTTCCATTCCTTTCTCCCTTCCATTTCATTCCTCTTTCTATCTTGATTTCTTTGGTTTTGATCTCATTCCATTTGGATTCCTATTTCTCCTTTTCCATAAACCTTTGGTTTATCCTGTGATTGTATTTTCTAGAAGGGTCTATTCCATTGGGATAAGATAAACCTGGTTACCTGATGTACTTTGGAAGTATAAAAGCGCCTTGTATCAATCGATAGTACAACCTTTCCTCGAGACATTCGATCCTGTGACACTTGGTATCAGAGCTTTTCTCACTCGACCGCGCTCAGCTAAGCAGCAACAGCGGGGGATCCTGCCTCGACAAACCGCCGGGGACGACAACGCCGAAGTTACCCAGCAGCTCTTCACGCGCATCGCATCGCTACAGGAGGAGATGCGAGCCGACCGCGAAGCTTGGCGAAACGAGTTCGAGCGAGTAACTCGACTCACCGGCGCGCAACACGAGACGGCAACATCGACGACGCAGCAGTCGCAGCAGTTTCTCGAGGCTCCGAAACCGCGCCCACCTGAGCTGTTCGATCCGAGCGATCGAAATTCCGATGTCCGCAGATGGATCGTCGGCATGGAGATCTACTTCGCAGCCGTCGGATGGAGCTTGCCAGTCTGGGACGGTCAACACGTACGACTCGCAGCAACACTGATGCAAGGGCCGGCACTCGAGTTGATCGGCGGTAACAGCACCTTCATCCACGTCGAAGCCATGTGGCAGCAGTTCCGCATCAACCTGCTGAAACGTTTCGAGCCGATAAATTCAGGTTTCCTTGCCCAGGAAAAAAATCATCGCCATCGACAGTTCGAGAGTGTAGCGCAGTACACGCAGCACATGGAGGAATTTTACAACCGCATTCTCGACCTGACCAAAGGGGAAAAAGTACAATCGTATCTTGCCGGGCTGAAGACCGAAGTCAAACGACAAGTGGCAGCGTCAAACTACGCGAGCTACAATGACGTTGTTTCGGCCGCGGAACGCTTCGATATGGTCAACGCCAGGACACGACGGGCGCACGTCAGCAGTACGCGACAGGGCGACCGCTCGGCTCACACCACGTTCGCCGACCCGATGGAAGTCGAAAGGTTCGAAGGACGGCCACGTCCGAAAAACACCAACTACACGTGTGATTTTTGCGGGGTGCCGGGTCATCGAATCTTCGACTGCAACAAAATGAAAGCCGCACGCGCTGAGTATCGGGCACCAATAGTGGCGGAAATCCTTCGGCCAATCAGAAGCCAAAAAACGGGACTCGCCAGTGATTGCGGATCTAGCTGGCGAAAAAGAAAAGATCCGAAAGCGGCCGCGGACTTCCGGAAAAATCAACTTCGATGCAGCTGATTTGACGCGAACAGGAGAAAATGATGGGGAAAAATCTCCACCCCACGACCAGTCTTTGCCAGAGGAAATCGCCGAGGAAAAATCTAACTATGCGAAAAAGGACTCTGCCAAGACGGGGAAACTCCTTGAAGACCCAAGAAATTATAAGGATTCGTTTAAGTTATCTTACAAAGATGCTTTAATGAAAACTTGTAATTCTCAAGGGGCTAGAGCCTTGGAGAAATTTCGGAGGGGACTCCAGAAGAAGCATAAAATTGTGGAGATCGTACCGGTACCGGAGAACTTGGGGACCAAATTAAGGAGTGTGGAAAGGAGCCGACCTTTCCACGGAGTCAACGTCCTCTCCCGACACCAGCCCACAGCGACTACCCGTTCCCCAGGCAAGACGTCGGTGCAGCTGAAGCAGCTCAAAAGGAAGCTGGGGGTCTACAAGAAGCTGCAAAAACCCCGAACTCTTTCTTCTCCGGATGCATCCAACTCGGCAACTTCGTCAACGACACGAACAGTCGTCACGGAAACTCCGGGCACTGGAGAAGAGCCTTTCTCCAAGCAGCCTCGGCCAGCTGCCACCTCAGGAGTAGGAAGCAACGAATAGTGGGATGTACCCTATGATGCAATCAATGAAACTATCTTTGGGTACTTCGAGCAACGCCTGCCCCTCGTGCTCGAGGTCATCTGCAAAGGACGATGCCTCCAAGCACTCGTGGACAGCAGAGCATCACACACTGTATGCGACAAGGCAACCATCGACCGACTTCGAGAAGAGTACAAGCCATCAGCATTTTCTGCAACGATGGTGGACGGCAGCAAGTTACCCGTGTACGGTGAAGCAGTGCTACACCGAAAAATTGGTCCACTACACTGGA